ATATTTTTTGCAGATGCCCAAGAAAAGGAATGTGTTAGCAGCCCTGGTTCTGCTAACAGCCGTTTACACATGGCTACCGGACGCCGCCCGAGAGTCCGGCTGGTTTACTTGCTCCCTGTTCGCTCCAACACCCGATGGAATAACGTGGAGCAACAGCAACTGGCAGGAGATTGCGGAGGGTTCCTTGTTCATTCTAAGCGCCTACGAAGATCGAAGATTTCAGCCTCACTACGTCCGCATTATGGGCATGGAATCCATCAACCTGTCGGCTGGTAAGTTGACGTGCGTGCTGTGGTACGTTGGTGGCAGACGCGACGTGGTCGCAGCAACACGACTCAGGATGTGGGTCGGCAAGAACAATATAAACCAGGATGGTCATATCAAACACGTTGGCTACGTCTACTCCTGTGCCGTGCCGGGAGAACGGGAAAGCTCACCTTCCCACGTTTCACTAACGTTTGATGTTTGCGAACAAATAACAAACGCCATGAAGGTGATGCCGTACATCCCGACGGACAGGATGCAAAATCATGATCACCAACGTGACAGTAATGACAACACAGCGCCATCTAGTGGTAAAATTGCGTTGTGCCTCAAACCGATGAATTTCCCAACAAAGGACATAGCGCTGCGTCTGGCGGAATGGATTGAGATACAGCGACTCCAGGGTGTAGATGTTATATTCACCTACGTGTATGACGTCACCGACACGGCTATGATGGTCCTGCATCAATACCAGCAGCGAAACATTGTCGATTTTGTGATCGCCACGCTTCCTGGCCTTCTGCCAAACGACAGGAAAAATCGAACGGCGTTCCTCCGCAGAACAGACATGCAAATGCAACTCATCGAGAAGATCATGCTCAACGACTGCTTCTACCGCCACCTGGCGTACGATTACGTCATCAATCTCGACCTTGACGAGGTAATCGTACCGCGGCAGCATCTCACGTGGAAGCAGATGATTCCAGAACTCAGTGACGTAAGCAAAATCCATGACCCACCAACAGAAGACGACGTAGCCTATATTATGCAGCTAATAAGTGAGGCAGAGAAGGAAATTGCTGCTGCCCCACCGAAGCGCACTTTCGCTAAGATCCCTGATCGCACCGACTACTTTGACAAGGATCGAGAGTCCAATTCTACGGATGCTACGTGTGGCCGGCCGGTTGACGAAGAATCTCAGCTTGCTCCACCGTGCGCCTCGTATTGCTTTCGTCAGAGTATGTTCCTCGATGAGTTCCACCAGCAGGACCACGACGACATTCCCGAATACCTTCACGTCATGCAGCACACCAACCGTTCCATGTACGTGCTAGATAATACTCAAATATTCTTGAAATGTCTGTTTAGCAGCGACGCAGTTCTTGTGCTTGGAAATCACATTGCCTACCACGTGCAACCTGGCTACGATGATACTTGCCACGCGGACCAGAAAATGGCGCTGATTCACCATTATAGACATAACTGTAAACTCTATCAGGAAAATAGGAAGAGAGAATGCGACAAAACCCTGAACAACACCATACAGGAAGACAGAACACTCTGGAAGTATCTTGACCCTGTGCGCCAGGCAGTTCATCAGATGGCGTTAACGCTAAACATGAATACCGAATGACGAATTTAAAACATTGACGCTAAGTCTGATTAAACAATGAATCGAAATACGTGATGATCTATGCACGCTATATATCGCATAGTTGTGTCTAACCCTATGGTCTAACCCTTACAGCATGTGTATAAACGGCTGATACGATAAATAACTCAAGGGCATGTAGGCCTACACTAGCCGGCCACTTGAGATATATTCGCTAAATGCAGAAATAATGTTTGAGTTCCTGAGGATGAATGAGCTTATTAACTTTACTTAACTGCACACGGTGGTTAGATTTGCATGCAAATAGTGCGCACATGCCCAAAGCGCTAGCGAGTTGGCTTCACAATTAGAGGTCAAAGGGTTATAATATATGTCAGTAAAATAAATACTGAAGTGATAATCGCGATTACAAAACGAAATTTTGCACGTGTATTTTCCCCGTGCGCGAAACCAAGGTAACAGCATTCCTACGAGTGTGTGTTTTACATGCGTAGTTAGTTGGCCAAATACGGGGCCGTAGCCTCTGGGGGGGAGGGCCAAGGGGCAGCTGCCCCCTAGATTTTGGAGCAAAATTTAAAAATAAGCTTAGCTAAAAATCGTAAATAAACATAACGTGATTTTTTTGGTCACTTATCCGTGAAAGCCTTGTATCAGACCCACGCCTACCATGCCTAGACCACACCTATACACCGCGCGTCGCTCATCATTACACCGCCCGCTAGGAATTCGCTCAGCCTACGGCCCTGAAATGAGAGGGGGAAAGAGAGAGAGAGAGGGAGAGAGAGAGGAGGGGGAAGAGGCGGGAGAAAGAAAGAGAGAGAGAGAGAGAGAGAGAGAGA